TCAACATGAAATAATTATTAAATAAAAAATTTTTTTCATTAAAAAAAGAACCACTCAGTAGGTGCACACTCTATGAACCTGCAATTCCACTCCTAGTTATGTAGCCAACAGAAAAAAATGTACAGGTAAACAAAGAGACATGCACAAGAATGTCAGTAACATTAATCACAATTCTGCAAACTGGAAATAATTCAACTATCAACTGTAGAATGGATAACTTCACTGAGCTCTACACTTAAAAGTTTGGTGCACTTTCCACATGTGATATACTTCAATTAAAATTTTTTAAAAAATATTAATGGAAATAATATAAAATACAAAAACATCCTATTTGAGAATATAAGTAGGGTTGGCTTCACTCAGCTTACCTGCGCCCTAAGAACTGTCATGGTTTCCAGGTCCTCCTCCTGCTTGGCGATGGTCTGCTTCATCTCATCCATTTGAAGCTGCTTGGAAGCCAGCGCCTTCTCTGCCAGTTCCAGTTTTTCATTTAGCTGCTGCAGCACCACCTTATCCACTTTTTCTGACTGTAAAAGACAAGTTTATTCTAGAAATGGTTTTCAAACAATTCAGTCTATTTTAGTAAAAGTTTATCTAACGGTTTATTTTTTTTAAATGATTGGCTCTACGCGGTTTTGTTAATTAGCAATGATAACTTACTTGGAAAGTTATATTCATTTAACTTATGACTTACAAATAATAATTATCTAATTTAAAACAATAAAAAAGAAGACACTAAAATAAGGGAAATTATGATTCATTTCAGTGAGGTTGTAACTTGCTAATATTGCTACTTTTTCATTCACATTACTCTTACTTTGTAAAGTCGGTGGAAAGATGAAAAATGTTTACATTAAAAATGTATACCCTAGCCCTAGCCAGTTTGGCTCAGTGGATAGAGCGCCGGCTTGTGGACTGAAGGGTCCCGGTTCGATTCTAGTCAAGGACACATGCCCAGGTTGTGGGCTTGATCACCAGTAGGGGGCGTACAGGAGGCATTCAATCAATGATTCTCTCTCATCATCGATGTTTCTATCTCTCCCTCTCCTTTCCTCTCTGAAATCAATAAAAATATATTTTAAAAAATGTAATAGGTCCTAGAGAGGAACAATAACCTATTAAAAAATAAATGAAAACCAAAAAAGTGTATTTATAAGGATACTAGAGGCCCGGTGCACAAAAATTTGTGCACTTTGGGGGGAGAGGAGGTCCCTCAGTCCGGCCTTTGCCCTCTCGCAGTCTGGGACCGCTCGGGAGATAATGACCTGCTGGCTTAGGCCTGCTCCCGGGTGGCAGAGGGCAGGCCCAATCCCTAGGTGCAGCCCCTGGTCGGGCTCAGAGCAGGGCCGATT